CGCTCCGGCGAGTCGGAGGTGGCAGCCGGCGCCGCGGAACCCCCGGCGGCGAGGAGGGGCGGGGCGGGGTGTCCGCCGGCCCCGCCCTCACCTGCCCGCGCGCGCGGGGCCCGGGCGGCGGCTCCGTGCCTGGCGAGCCCAGCGTCCGAGGGCACGGGTCCCGGGAAGGGGGTCGCGGGGACCGGGAGGAACCGGGGCGCAGGGGGAGGGTCGAGGCGGACCCAGGGGGCACACAGTTGCTGTCCGCCTCCGCTTCTCCTGTGGAGGAAGCGGGATCCTCTGTAGATCGGCTGGGGAACTTCCCGGGGAAGACCAAGACGCGCCGCGCGGCCCCGGGGCTGGGAACGGTGCGCTGCCCAGAGTGGGCCTGACTCGGACTGTTGGCCTGACGAGAAGGGGCTAAGCGTCTGGACTCCCACACAGGGCGCCTCGCAACCACTAGTTCTGAGGCCAGGGCGGAGCAGGGCAGGAATGAGAAGTCGGGGTGAGTGGGGGTCGCTCAGTACGGGTCTGCAGGACAGACACACGGTAAATATGTGAATAACTCCCAGTTTAAGTTCTGAATCCACCAGCCTGAGGAGGGGCGCTAGCACACAGTAGACCCTCGGTGACTAAGGTTAGTGTCCTCTTGGCTGAAAAGGTTTTGCGACCTCTTTCTAATCAAGTCAGGTTAAACACAGGCGTTTACGCTTAAGGGCATTAATTAGGAAACAATTTGCAATTCAAGTGTGAAGGCTAATTTTAAGCTTAAGTAAAACACTGACTTTCTAAGAATTGTCGCTTTGGTTGAACTCTTCCACACCACAGACGTGAGGAGAGCTTCCCATACTCTAGGCACTTAAACAAGTGCCTATTTATTGTTCCCATTATTGTTCCCATTTTACGAGAAAGAGGACTAAGGCTCTAGAGCGGAAGTAAATTGTCCCAAGCCACATGATTCGTTGTTGTGCAGAGCTCAGGTTCCAACTTTTTCCACTATACAATGTTGCCTAATATACAACTCAGATGGAGTCGGAACTCCAAGCTGAGAAGCAGTAAACATATACTATAACTAAGACGATTTCAATTAAAAAGCCTCTCATCTTTTGGTTACCGAAGATGGGGAAATACAGGGAAGGCCAAGTGGCGCGTTGGTTAAGAGTTGGCTTGGGACGTCAGCTCTGAGGAGCAGGGCCCTGGTTTGGATCCCACATTAGGGCCAGCGACGCTGGGCCCTCTACAGCTAAGATGATGAGCAACAGCTCGACCTGGAGCTGGGCTGCTGTGAGTTGCCAGCGATAGCGTAGGCTGCAGCCTCTGCTGCAGTGGGCTGCCATAAGCTACCGTGAGCAACTGGCAGCCAGCGTGAGCCACCCTGAGCCTCTATTAGTGGCCGTACAATGGCCAGGGAGCGACTGCCTCACCTGGGAAGAGTGCAATGATCACAATACCAACATGGACCAGTGAAGCGACGTCCTCCACAACTAGACTAAAGAACAAAAGGACAGCAACTTGTCTGTTCCCCTTCCCTGATTCCCCAGTGCTGTTCCCCTCCCCAATTCCCCAATAAAATCTTAAACAAAAAAAGATGGGGAAATACAGTGACTAATTAATACTCTATTCAACCAAAAAATACTTATTGGGCACTTATATGCTAACCAATATGCTAGGGACTGGAGTCAGCCTGCCAGTTAAATATGACAAGTTGAATGGCTGGATATAGGCTCTGGCCTCAGCTCTCTCCCAAAGTCCAAGTGAAATGACAGTTACAGGGATTTTTCTTCTTAAGGGGATAAAACCACTGGGACAAAGAATGGGAAAGCAGGCAATGGCAACAAAATGTTGAAAGCAGAAAAGCAAATGGGTAAGTGGTAACCAACTTAGCAGATCCCAAGAAAGCTAACCCCTAAGCTTGCACAGGGAAAGGCTGAAATGCAACCTAGGTTCTAGCACAGAACAAAAGGCTCTGGGACGCTGGGATAGGCAGCACCAAGCACATCTAGAAGTGGAGGCAGGAATAAAACAGCAAGATCAATTGAAAGTCTTTTAAAGAAGCAATTGGATCCCTGGATCCCCTTTTCATGCCCTTCCCCCAAGACTGGGGGTTTATTCCCTGGAGAAGGTAAAATAGAGGGTCTCTTAGCTAGGAATCACTAGGCACCGTTGAGGGCAGGGGTACCATACTGAAATATATATATAATGTATTATATATATAATTATATTTTAAAAGTAAAATTAAAATTGTATATATAATTTTATAAAATAATATATACTTGTATATTTGTGTGCGTGCATGTGTGTGTGTGTGTATGTGTGTGTGTGTGTGTCTCCTTGGATATTAATATAAAAGAAAAAAAAACATCAATAGAAGAGTTAAAAGAAAATCTCACAGGAAATAGAGCCAAAAGACAAAGAGAAGGAAAATGATAAGAAAATTAGAGAAATAGTCCAAGAGAATTAGAGAATAACAAGACTTTGATAAAGTTAAAAGAGAGAGAATGGAGGGAAGAAAACATAAAATAACAATTCAATAAAACTTCCAAGAACCAACAGACATGAGTTTTGGATTTAAAGGACCCACGAGTGCCCAGCATAGCGAGTGGACATGAACCGGCACCCAACCACATCAGACCACTGGGGCAAAAAGACCCTCAAGGTTCCTGGAGAAACAGAGCAGGTTTCTTTATAAAAGATGAGGCATCAGACTTTTCCACAGCATCTCTGGGAGCTACAAGGGAATAGAGCAAACCCTTCCACATCCTCAGGAAAGTCACCCTCATCTAGAAGTCTGGTTCCAGCTGGAGTGTCAATCAGGTGTGAGGATTGATGGAAGACTCTTCAGACATGGAAAGACTCCCTCTGTCTCTTTCTCAGGAGGCTGTTGGAGGAGGACATCACCAGAACAAGGGCTTTAAACCAAGGAAGCACAGGACAGGGGATCCAGGAAAGGGTGGATGCAGGCTAGAGAGAGGTGATAAGGATCCCTAGGATGAAGGGAGTAGAAGCTGCCCTCCCTGTGTAGCAGGGCTGGGAGTTAACCAACCCAGACTGGAGCAGTCAGAGGCTTCAAGAGACTTCTTTAAGATGAAATTGAGAATACGTTTGAATATACAGGAAAGGATACATAGTTTGGGAAAAGTTTTGAGATAAATTAGTGGTAAATTCATAGGAAACTAAACAAATATTCATAGATATTAACTGCAGGGGAAATAAAATAATGTCTAGAAAAGAAGATTGGGGCCGGCCGAGTGGCTCAGTTGGTTAAGAGCTCGCTCAAGAGTTTGAGCTCTGAGCAACAGCGGTTCGATGCCCGGCCCGAGCTGAGTTGCTGCTGAGCTGCCAAAAGGTGGCAGGATGGCTCAGCTTAAAAAAAAAAAAAAGTATGGTAAATCACATGGCTCAGCTATGAATATTTGCATAATAATATAAACAATGAATGCTGACCTAACCAAAAGTATGTGACCATATTAGGAGGAGAGAATGGGGGGGGGGCAGGGGCAGGATGTATGCATGTGATAGGGAGACAGGGAGGGTGTACAAGAGATCTAACTACTCATCATCCATCGTGGGAGATCAGTAGGTTCTTAAAACTGAAAAACCAAGAGGCAGCAGTATATGTATATGAGTTAAAAATATAAAGATAAATACAAAAATAATCAGTTAAAAGTTTAAAAGTGTTGCCTTGGGAGCAGGAAATGTAGTGTGGTTTTTAGGCCTTCTAGAACTATTTGATTCTCTCAACCATGTGCACATATAACTCTAATAAAAATAAAAAGCTAAATTAAAAACAATTTTAAAAAAAGGAACTTGAGAGTCAGTGCTGATAGAGCAGATAGAGCCCCTGCCAGCATAGATGTGGAGAGCAAGTACTGACCCCAGTAAATACAACAGCATGTGCTGAGTGTTGTTCATGGTGGTATGAAAAGTTCCAGCCAGGATTTAATTGAGTCCATGAGTCAGAATTTCAGCTGAGATTTAAAACATAAACAGCAGTTAGCTAGGCAAAGAGATGGTAAGAGTGGGTGGAACAGTGTTCTGGGCAGAGGGAATGACATGTGCAAAGGCCCAGAGACAAGCAAAAGCAAGGCACAGTGAAGAGGCTCAAGCGCAGAACTCAAGAGGAAGAGGACTGGCAGACAAGACCTGAAGCTGAAAGGTAGCCTTGGGCCAGTCCCTGCAGGGCCTCATGGCCCATGTGAGAGGGCGGACTCTGAACGAGAGTGTTAAGCAAGAGAGTGGCCTGACTTTTAGAATGCTCTCTCTGGCTTCAAGAGGGAGATGGACAGAGAGGAAGCAAGACTGGAGGCTACCCTCCAGTACTTATTAACTCTCTCCTGTCCCTGGACTCTAGCCTAAGTTTATTTTTAGTTCCAAGGATGGACTCAATTTTTTTTACTTTTGCTTTTTAACAGACTTCCAAAGGCATTATTGGGAATCCCACATAGTAATAGATAAAACTTGGTGTTATTGTGCCTTCCTCAGTGTTAAACTGCAATACACCATGAGTCTGTGGCTATCGCTGTGCCTACAAGTGCTGAAGTCAAAATGAGGATAATAAATGATATAGAAGCAGGCAGCCCTTGGACAGGTCCCTGGGTTTCAGGGTCTGGTCCACATATCGAGGGCTGATTCAAGACAACTCAACTCAGGAGAGACTGATGAATAAAACAGATGCTACTTTATTAATTGTTGCCAGTGGAGAGACTCTGCCAGCAACTATAATGCTGCTGCTTATCTCAGTCCCTGAACTCATCCGGAAAGTAGTATCCTTAGATCCTAGTATCCTTAGATATGGGCTATTTCCCCAGGATACCCTGATTCAACTGGATCACCCCT